ATTGAGAAGTGAGGACACTGAGGAGGACTCTGGATGAAGGAGGAAAGAGGGAGGGTTTTCACAGATATATGCTTCCCTCGTTGTAACAGATTCAGGAGAGAGTCCGAGAGACAGTCCACTGCACACTGCACAGGTATGTTTCAAAATAGGAGTCCCTTTTTTCAATCTTTTAGAAAAGAAGCTTTTCAAGGTGTGGTAGATGGCCCACATGACCACGTCTACAAAGGTAGGTAGCAAATACAAGCCAAGCCAGAGTCTCAGAGTCAATATGGGTAGTTGTTTCCTCCCTCTCTCCTCTTCTTAACTATCTGATCTCGACCTGCCTCCCCTTTCCTCTCTCTCTCGTCTCCTTAGCTGGCATCACCTCCTTCTCTCTTCTGGCTAGTACCTCAGTACCTGTGCTTGTCTCCCCTCGGGCCCTCCCCTTGTTAGAGTGCGGCGACGGGCCAAGGTTCAGAAGCAGCTGAAATGCACGGTACAGAGTACACAACACAAGTCTTAGAGACTTAGAGCGACCAGCTAGACCATAAAGTGTGACACCAGGCACCTGATGATGACCTGAGGGGCCTGCTGACAGTGCTGAGAGCTAGCCTGATGACGGACCTGACCTACATCTGACAATCAGATGTCAGAGGGAAGGTTGTAGTTTTGCAGGTAAGAAATACTGATGGCTATTTCGCCGCTAAGTAATGCACAAAAGTGACAAAACTGAAACATGAAAAATTCAAAAATGAACTGCTGAAAAATTCCAATGATTTCCACGAATCGAAGTTAATGGCCCCAAAAAGGCCTTACCAAAACTGAAGGGGCCATTTTGGGGCCCTCTTCAAACTGAAGAGAGTGGTACTCCCAATTTGAATGATATAAAGTAACCCCGAAAATATGGTATGGACCGTATGGTAGACAAAGGGGAAAATACACCGAAGAGTCGAACACCATAAGATTGATACTTAACCAAATTCTGGAGCAGTTGAAGAAGAGAAAAAATACCGAAGGAACAGTCTCAGCCTGAGTCTCCAAAACTCTCGAGGAACGATTGATTCGGATTGACGAAGAGGTTTAGCGAACCAAACAGCGACCGATTGCAACTGGGTCCGGACTCCGGATAAAGACAGAAGAAACTTCAAGAACGACATGTGCCGTGAAGCGGAGTACATGGTGGCCATGACTTAATGAGCAACAGCTAAACAGGAAACGTAATTCCAATGATGATGTAGTGAAGACGTACATAAATGATAACAGATGGGGCCAACTCGGGTCACCGAGGCTAAGACGTCTCGACTGATCTGACTTGCGATTCAGCAGCGGTCACAGAAGATAGAGGAAGAATAAAGACACGAACTTGCAGAGGTAGATGTCCGAAATCTCCTCCTAAGAGAGTCCGAAAGTAGCATGCATCAAGCTCGGCCTGGTAGTCGTGTCACTCGTGTGATCTTTCTAAAAGCGAAGAAGATTCTTAGAATAATGCCAAACATACTGATATCCCCCCCGGCGGTTCCCTCCCCCCTCCCTCTCTCGTGCTCMCCCMCACACAGAGAGAGAGAGAGAGAGAGAGAGAGAGAGAGAGAGAGAGAGAGAGAGAGAGAGAGAGAGAGAGAGAGAGAGAGAGAGAGAGAGAGAGAGAAAACGCTGGACTCCAAGAACCGCATGGGGATAAGATGAGGGAAGGAAGAAAGGGCAGAAAGAAGGGATAGGTCTCATAGGAGGGAGAGGTGGGCGCAACAGAGGACGACAGAAGAGAGGAGAGAGAGAGAGGACGAAGGAGGAGACGAGGATATGTTAAGGGGAGAAAGAGGAGGAAAAGAAGGAGGTGGAGAGGATTCAGCAGCCTCGACTCCGCTCGAGAACACATAGAAAGGGTAGAAAAAAGAGCTGCAGCCGAGTTGAAGATACCATCAAATTCATCAATCAATCTGCCTTCTATTGTACAAAGGGGGTGGAAGACTGGAAGTTCCGTGGAACAAGTTTTTGTCGGGGAGAGTGTGTGTTGCCCGTCCATTAGGCTGATGAATTCGTCGAAGTGTTCTTTCCCTCTCGATCACCCCATTATGCTACACTCGTCAAATCCCACCCCAGCGTGACCCCAACCTGACACAGACCTGACCCGAGTCTGGCACGAGCCTGATCCTCGTTCAGAAACCAGCTATGGTCCTCTGGACATCCAACCACACGGAGTCACGGACTTATGGTCAGATAATGGTCCAACTTGAGCTCGTCTACATTCTGAAGGGGCCCAAGGGGGGGCATTGGACGTGAACGATTCCAAAGGGGGGGCATTGCCGCATTGGACGTGAACGAGCTATGGCCGCAACAGCAGCGAGGCTGAACCAGCTATGGAGGACCAGCAGGCTGGAGGTAACAGCAGCAAGACGGAAACGATGACTTTCCATTGTTGAGTGCCTTCAGAAAATCCACCGAAGAGCTAAGGCCTTGTTCGATAGAAGCCCGTCATCTTCCAATCAACTCTTGATGATAATCCTCACCCATCGATCCATTGCAATGATTCACACGGCGTCCCAGCAGCTCTGACATCATCAAAAACTTTACCCCTAACTCTCACCATTTATTTTTCACAATACCCCTCTCCAACCCCCTCTCTCCCCCTCCTCCATGACTTCCCCACCCCATCTCTTTCACAGTTTCACCCCTTTGCCCCCACCAAGACACACAGTCACTTCTATCCCTTGGCCCTTGGGAGCAGTGGAGCACCAGTTCTGCTCCGCGGGTTACCTACCATGTTAACGGCCAGTAGCCTGAGGCCCTGAGGCTGTGAGCCACAGATCTATAAATAGACTGAGAACAGTTCTATAAATAGATATATAAATAGACTGAGAACAGTTCTATAAACAGATCTATAAATATACTGAGAACAGTTCTATAAATAGATCTATAAATAGACAGAGAACAGTTCTATAAATAGATCTATAAATAGACTGAGAACAGTTCTATAAATAGATCTAAAAACAGACTGAGAAGAGTTGTACAAAAAGACCAAGTGTTACGGCCTAGTAGTCTGAGGCTCTGCGCCACAGATCTATAAATAGACTCAGACATTATCAGCGACTAGGCTCTGAGCCATAGATCTATAAATAGACTGAGAAGTTGTGAGAACATTCTCAGTGTTTCCTGTTGCACTCAGTCCGTCAGTAGCCGACGGCGCGTACTGCGACCGGATTTCCTAAGTGGTTAAGGGTGAGGAGGAGGAGGAGGAGGAGGGCGACGACAAGGATTGGCTGTGGTAATGAGAGAATGTGAGTGGGTGTGCTCCTTGTGGGGGATGATGCAGACCCATGCTGTTATCGTCGCCTTTGTGATGAAGTGAATGCTCTCGGCTTCTGCTTTGTCCATACTGTGGGTACACGACGTCAACGCTAATTGCATGAAAGGAGAGAGTCGACCGTCGACAGGCTGAGAAGGAAGGATCTCCATTCTTAAAAGGCTGAGAAGGAAGGATCTCCATTCTTGAAAGGGTGAAGGAAGAACCGCGAAGAAGTCTCCATACCATCTCGCAAAATTTGAAATTCCTCGTGCGTCTCCATACATAAGCTGGGCATATGGGGACCAGGCTGACCAGCAGGTTTCCATCCAACCTCTCGCGGAACAGCTGTCCCGTTGTCGTCTCGTCTCCATGAGAATTTTCGTTAGCTGAGACAAAAGCACTTGTAGCTGGACTTACCTGAAGCCTGAAGGTTGAAGCAAGAACAACTCTCTGCTAAGTCTGCTCCTCCGCTCCTCTTTTTCCTCCTCTTCGTCCGCCTCTTCCTTCACCCCTTATCCCTGGCTTGCCCTTTCTCCTCCTCCTCCTCCTTCCTCTTCTCCTCCTCCTCCTCTTCGTCCTCCTGTTTCTCCTCGTCTTCCTCTTCCTTCTCCTCTTCTCCCTGGCTTCTCCTCCTCCTCCTCCTCCTCCACCGCCTCCCTGAGTCCCTGGCTTCTCCTCCTGCTTTCTCCTACTCCTCAACCGAGAGAGAGAGAGAGAGAGAGAGAGAGAGAGAGAGAGAGAGAGGAGTTGGGGAACAGCAATCAGCAAGAGACAGCTGGATTCGTGGAGTGAAATGGCGATATCCAGCAACAGAGCTACTCCGCAGACTGTCGCAATGCTGAACGGGAGGGAGGGAGGGAGGGAGGGAGGGAGGGCGGGCGGGAATGTCAGCCAGCAGAGCGAAGACGGTTAAGGTGTCGAACCCACGGTTAAGAGACGATCACCAAGCTTTCTGAATCCCAATTGATTTCACACTGGGTTGGCTTCGAAAGAGCTGATCCTAGTCCTGTCCGGATATTATGGTACACCCATCCATCACCTCCAAGGCAATGTCCGAGTCCGAGTCCGAGTCCGAGTTTGCCGAGATTGGAAATTAGCGGCCGAGCTTGGGTAGATATCCACCGTAGGATAGAATATCATGCTCAGAAGGCCAAAGAGTCTGTAATTCCTAATAAGTGATTCCTATATTTCTTATTAGATCTATGATTGGCCAATCATAGATCATTACCGTGATGGAAGTTATAAAATCATAAATCAGCTCTCGAATGTACGCGGGCGGCAAGTGACGGATCGGCGATCGAGGTACAGATTGGCAGCTGTCACAAATCACAAAATCCAATCCCGTTCTTAAGGGGAATGAGTCCGAATGACTTCGCTTACGGTTCGGTAGTGGCTCTTGCTCGGTTGCGCTGCGGTCGCGACGTCTAGGCACTGCGTAACGGAACGTAACACAAAGTCGACGGCTGCCTTCCGTTATTGCACCGAAAACAATTTCAAACAAAGGGTCGTAAACTGCCGTCTGCATATAATTCACTCCGGACAAAAACTGCGTCTGAAGTGTCAGGGCACACCGTCCATTGTCATCATCGCTGGGCTGGTTCTGGAAAATTCACGCAGATGCACACACACACACACACACACACACACACACACACACACACACACACACACACACACACACACACACACACA